GGGGGGGCTCCGCGCCTCATCCTCATTGGGGATCCCGAATAGGGGTCCATTGTGGAACTAGTCGTTCGTTTTCCCTAGTCGTAAAGCGACCGACAGCCACACTTTACGAGGTTTTAGTACAAAAAGTCAAATCCTATGTGGAAACCTTGCTGGATCCTTCCGTAGATCTTCTTATCTTCTCCTTTTCAGTCTTCTGGCTCAGTCTTCTGGCTAGGAGTAGATGTCGAAATGGCAGGAACTGATAAGTTAGTCAATAGGAAAGAGAAATCGAAAGAGTGACTATTCCATGAAGTTCCTCATTCTATTACGAGAATAAAAAACATCGATAAAACAGCGTGAAATCGACGAAAAGAGATCAAGGTTTCTAGCTCAACCCTTTACCTGCGGATGAATGCAAGGGCTATTGAATAGCGCGAGATTCGATATGATTACTTTTATCCTACTCCTGCTTGTGACCATTAAGTGCCTTGATCTTTTGTTCTGTAATGTCAGAAGAGGAAGGTTAGGCAGTGCAGTAAGGTCTGCAGGTAAAGTTCTGAGAGTGATCGAAAGACAGGGGAATAATCCCCGCACGGGTCGATACATCGAAAAGAAGCCGAGCAATTAAGGCCACTGAGTACAGGAACAGACCAGGTGGAAGCGGAAAATCCTTCAATTCTGAGACAAGACGGAAGCTAAGAGTTCACATCCGGAAAGAAGGCGCTGTTTGCACGCCTCTTGCGGAACGAGATCAAACTGAAACTATGAATGCGGGCATGGAAGCGAACGAACTAGGAAAGCAGCATGGAAAGCAAGGAAGACCTTTTCTCCCTATATACGAAAAAAGTCCTACCTAACCTCCAAGGAAGGGAAGAAAGCTGGAATCAGATAGTTTAAATAGCGCTTTCAATGAAAACTTCGTCATTATCCCGTGGGAAACAACCCCCTAACCTTAAGTAAAGCGTCTGCCCCTACATTCATAACCATATCTTCCATTCACCATGGATGCCTTAGTTCCATCCCCGCCAACATATCGCTGAGCCAGAGATAGACAAAAGAACAAACATCGTTAGACTTCATTAGAAGATAGATCTCATCATTGGCGCTATTCAATAGCCGTCCTACTTTCTGGTTGGAAAGCCCTGATCCCGGGATCTAAAGTACCTACTAGGTCGGGACCAACATGAACTAAGCGTAACTAAGCTCATTTTACACCGCTCATCATGGAAGTTGCCCGAACGCTTTCTTTCCTAAGACTTTCAATCTAACAATCGGTCCAGAATCCAACAATTCAAAAAAACAAGGGCATCTATTTCAA